CAAGAAGCAATCAACAAACTGGGGAGAGAGAGACCGAGGCTGGGCCAGGAACCAGACACCAGGGTCTGAGGGAGGAGGACTGGGGCCTGGACTCCTGGGTCTGAGGGAGGAGGGTCTGGGCCTTGGATCCCTGGGTCTGAGGGAGGAGAGGCTGGGACTTGGACTTCTGGGTCTGAGGGAAGAGGGCTGGGAGCCTGGACTCCTGGGTCTGAAGGCGGAGGGCTTGGGCTGAGCCTGGTCTTTGTGAGCACAGGTGTGAGTCACCAGAAGCCCGAGTCCACCTCTCCCAACACCGCAGTGTCTCAGAGCCCAGGTGAAGATTCCCCCATCATCTCGGCCAAGCCAGACCCCCTTCCTTCTTGGGAAGCACTACCTCCTGAGGACCTGGGTGCCTGGACCCCCACTCACCCACCCCCAGGCCCAGGGGTCTCCGTCCCTCCCCTGGGCCCCGGCTTGCCCATGGACGGGCGGGGGGCACTTACCAGCAGCACCAGGCTCCCCCGGGCCCCGAGGCCCCCACCAGCCCTGGCCATGTCTCCAGACACCGTGAGGGACCCAGGAGCCCCAGGCCTGGCCCTTCCTTCTGCTGGACTTTAACCTTGAGAATTTCCCCTTTCTCAGTCCACAGGGGAGGCCCAAGGCCAGGGCGGGAAGGGGAGGAGGAGGAAGTGGACGCCACAGCAGCGTGAGAGCCTTGTGGCCGCACCTTCCCTCCTCACCTCTGCGTCTGTCCCGACACTGGGGACACATTATCTCTTCTCCAGCTCTGTGCGGGCGGAGTTCTAGGCCCCCATCCCACAAGAGCCCCCTCGGCCCCCAGTTGAGGCAAAACCCCAGGGTACCAGGTACTGCTGCGCGGGGGCACCGTCCAGCCTGTCAGAGCTGGGGCCCTCCCCTCCCTGTAGGCGAGTCTGCCTCCCCCTGGGGTCTGGATCTCAGGCCCTCCCTACACCTCAGCCCCTGGCCTTTCCCCTCTCCACCCCCACAAGCCCTTGCAGCTGTCACAGAGTGAACTGCAGGTCCCGCCTCCAGGCCTGTCCCTGGCACCTGCCGACTGGCCTCTCACAGCTTCCATCAGGCTGGGTGGGGCCTTCTGGGCATCAGGACTTGTGCTGGGCCTGTATTTGCATATTTACCTTGTCTCTACCTGTGGCCTTGAGCAGGTGACGCTGACTCGTTTCCTACTGCCTGACGTGGTTCCTGTAAGGAGGCTGTGAGGAACAAGGGGGCCATCCGCGGAGTCTCACAACAGTGCCCGGCCTCTCTCAAACACTCGAAGAATCTTCGTTGTGTTTGTTTGGGGTCCATCCCCAGACTGCCGGTGTCCGGAAGGGGACTGACTCCCAGGACTTTCCAGGGAGTTTTTGTTGACTTATGAATACGGACACGGGGGCGGCCTTCATTCCACTTATAGTATGGAGGTCAAGTGTCGGGATCCTAGCCAGGTGTAGTGTCGCACTTCTGTAATCACAGTTACTTGGTAGGCTGAGGTGGGAAGATCGCTTGAGGCCAGGAGTTCGAAACCAGTCTGGGCCACAGAACAAGACCTCATCCCTACAAAAAAAATCAAAACAATTAGCTGGGTGTGGTGACGCATGCCTGTAGTTGTAGCTACTTAGGAGGCAGAGACAGTAGGATCGCCAGAGCCCAGGAGGTCGAGGCTGTGGGGAGCCGTGACCCTGTCAGTGCATTCTGGCCTGGGCCACAGAGTGAGACCCTGACTCAAAAACTAAACCAAACCAAAAACCGTGTTTGCCACTATTATTATCGCCCCCACTTCCCATCACCCTCCCTCCCACTCCACCCTGGAAGCTCCCATGTCACAAAGGGGAAGGATGGGAAGGAACCAGCACGTGTTGCCTGTCGGAGGCCTTTGATGAGGTCCTACGGCAGAGGAGGAAGTGGCCGAAGGGGACTTGGCCTGGGACTCAACCACTTCCCCCAGGGTTGAGCTGGCCTCTGTGCCCTCTCCTCCCGCTCAGAGACTGTGGAGTCTTCACCCCCATGGCGGCCTCAGGGCGCCCTGGACACCCACCCCTTGGGATCAGAGGTTTTATCTTGCCGATGCTTATCTCTGATTTAAAATTGTCCTTAGGCTAGGCATGGTGGCTCATGCACCTTGCCCATTCCAGCACCTTGGGAGGCAAAGGTGAGAGGATTATCTGAGGCCACGGGTTGGAGACCAGCCTGGGCAACACAGCGAGACCTCGTCTCTACAATAAATCAAGAAATAATTAGCCGGCATGGTGGTGCACACCTATGGTTTCAGCAACTTGGAGGGCCGAGGTGGAAGGATCTCTTGAGCCCTGAAGGTCGCGGCTGCAGTGGCTGTAAGTGTGCTACTGCATTCCGACTTGGGTGACAGACTCCAACTCAAAAAAAAAAAAAATTGTTGTTAGATAAGCATATTTTATTCTCAGAAAATATACATTATTGGAAGAGACGTCTCCTTTTAGTCTTGTAACTCAGTTCTCACACTGCTGTCCTTAGGAAGGCAGCTTCTTTCCCAGAGCCTCAGTTTCCCCATCTGCGTAACTAAGGGTTGGATGGCAAAAAGTTCCCTTTCAGGGGCAAGGGATCTCCATCATGCCGAGGCTTCTGGGTCAACCTTTTCTGCTTCTCTTCTGTGTCTTTGGTCTCTCTCTCTCTCTCTCTCTCTCTCTCTCTCTCTCTGTGTGTCTCTGTCTTTCTGTCTCTGTCTCTAGCTCTCTCGTTTTTCACTGTCTCCTCTCCTCTCTTTCATTTTTTTTGGGAGGGTTAGTCTCCCTCTGTCGCCCAGGCTGGCATGCAGGGGCACACTTACAGTCACCATAGGCTCGACCCGCTGGGCTCAGGTGCTCCTTCCGCCTCAGGCTTCCAAGTAGCTGGAACCACAGGTGTGTGCCACCATGCCCAGCTCATTTTTTGACTTATTGTAGAGATGAGGTCTCACCACGTTGCCCAGGCTGGTCTCAAACCCGTGGGCTCAGGCAATCCTCTTGCCTCCGCCTCCCAAAGTGTTGAGATGTGAGCCACCAAGCCCGGCTCGATTTCTCTTCCTTTTTTTTTTTTTTTTTTTTGAGTTGGAATCTCACTCTGTTGCCCAGACTGGAGTGCAGTTGGCCGCTCTCAGCCACCGCAGCCACGACCTGCTGGGCTCCGGCAATCCTTCTGCCTCAGCCTTCCAAGTAGCCGGAATTACAGGCGTGCGCTACCACGCCCGGCTAATTTTTTGATTTATTGTAGAGATGAGGTCTCGCTGCCCAGGCGGGTCTCGAACCCGCGGGCTCAGGCAATCCACTCACCTCAGCCTCCCAAAGGCGCGGGATTACAGGCTGAGCCACCGAGCCCGGCTCGATTTCTGTTCTTAAGGAGAAAAGAGGAGCAGAAAGACTCCACATTTCTTGTTTCTGGGTGTGTCTTCAGCCCATCAACAGGAAATTCTTCTTGCCTCTACACTGGCCAGCCTGGATGCAGAGTCTTCTTCATCCTGCAGGGATAGAAGCACACGCCTCCCCCAGCCCCCAGAGACAGAGTCTCTCACTCTGTTGCCCAAGCTGGAGGACAGTGGTCCCATCACACTTCACTGCAGCCTCCAGTTCCTGGGCTCAAACGATCCTCCCACCTCAGCCTCCTGAGTAGCTGGGACTATAGACATGTCACCACGCCTGGCTAATTTTTACATTTTTTGTAGATGTGGGGTCTCACTACGTTGCCCAGACTGGTCTCAAACTCCTGGATTGGCTGGGCATGGTGGCTCACGACTATCATTCTAGCACTTCGAGAGGCAGAGGCGAGAGGATTGCCTGAACTCAGGAGTTCAAGACCAACCTGAACAACATGGCGAGACCTTGTCTCTACAATAAATCCAAAAATTAGCCAGGCGTGGTGGCACATGCCTATAGTTCCAGCTGCTTGGAAGGCTGAGGTGGAAGGATCGCCTGAGCTCAGCAGGTCAAGGCTGTGGTGGCCATGAGTGTGCCACTTCCCTCCAACCTGGGCAACAGAGTGAGACTCCGACTCAAAAAAAAAAAAAATCAAACCTCTGGATCAAACGATCCTCCTGCCTCAGGTTCCCAAAATGCTGGGATTGTGGACGTGAGTCACTGGGCTCAGCAAAAGAACACTTTGGTCCTCTCAGGATGCTCTCTGGAATCCCGGTCATCCTCTCAGCCCATGAGTCATCATGCCGGCCCCTCATCTTAGGCGGGGATGTATCCTCACCTACAGGAGCTTATTCGTGTCTCAGTAGGTACCTGCCGAATGAATGTCTTTGCTTGACATCTGAGCTGTTTCTGGACCTGTTCCTGGCCCCTTGGCAGCCACACAGACTCTCCTACTTGTTCCCCTCGGCACTCCAGGCTGATTCAGGCCACAGGACCTTTGCACCTACTGTTTCCTCTGCCTGCCAAGCTCTCTCTCTCCATCTTCTCTTTCTACTTCCCCTCCTTCCTCCCTTCCTTCACTCCTGTCCCTCCTTCTGTCCCTTTCTCCGTCTTTCCCTTCCACCCTCCTTCCTTTCCTCCTCTCTTCCTTCCTTCCCACCTTCCCTTGCTTCTTTCTTTTTTTTTCCTTTGGAGTGGAAGTCTCACTCTGTCGCCCTGGCTCGAGTGCAGTGGCAGGATCACAGCTCACCACAGCCTCGACCTGCGGGGCTCAAGGGATCCATCCTCCCTCCCTCCTCAGCTTCCTAAGAAGCTGGGACTACAGGCGTGCAGCACCATGCCCAGCTAATTTTATTTATTTGTTTACTAGAGACGAGATCTCACTATGTTGCTCAGGCTGGTCCCGAACTCCTAGGCTCAAGCAATCCTCCTGCCCCGGCAACCCAAAGTGCTGGGATTACAGGTGAGATTCGCCACGCTCGGCCAGAGGGTGATTTTCACTTTGCTTCGTGGAGGCTGCCCACGTGCAGACGTGAACAAGTAGAGCCTGCATGGGCCCTGATGCTGAAGACCCGAGACCCTGGCTTGGGGGTGCCCGGCAGGCGCCTGAGGGGGGTGCACACTGAACACTGTCTCAGCGGTGACACCGGTCACCATCTTACAATGACACCGATCGCCACCCAGGCTCCACCCGCTCTGTCCTCCGTGCAGGACACGGCACCCACCGGGCGCCTCCTCGTGAGCGTGAAGGCCGAGGGTGCAGTGGATCAAGGAGACGGCGACCCCAGACCATGAGTGCCCGGGGCTACCCAGCCCCTCTTCCTGCTCGGACCAGCTGGGGCTGGACCCCACCCGCCAGGGCTCCCCGGCGCTGTCCTTGGTGCTGACGCGCTTCTGGGCGGGGACTGCAGGACGGCTGGCGTCGTCCTGATGGGAAAGCCCAGCCAGCCCCACAGAGCCCAGGAGAGCACGGGACACCGACTCTAGGGAACACGGCCAGTCCAGGACCAAGGCGCCCTCACCCCAGAGACGTCATCGTGGTCCGGGGACAGGGTGATGTCATGAATTAGGAAAGTGACCAGTGGGTTTGAGGGGGTGTGGGAGGACAGGGTGTCCTTAACGTCCGTGGAGAAAACATATTTCTCGGGGGGGAGGGTCATCCATAGCTT